CTCTAAGCATTAATGTGCTTCATCACATGAACCAGGTGCTATGCTGCATAGCACACTTTTTTAAACTTTAATCTAATAATGTGCTTGATCCCATGATGCTGATGCTATGATACGATCTTGAAGTTTTACAAGACTGTACATCTGAGGACATAAACTAACTCAGAGCATAGACAGCATAACCAATTATTGAAATTCGCTCAATAAATTTAGTTTTACAGGGCTTGGTGGAGCATGAGGCTCTTAATTACAGGGTCAGGGGTTTGAATCCCACATTGTCTGATGAACTAATTGAAGTTGTGGACAATGTAACCAATTGTTGAAATTTGTTTAACAAAAGTGACATTTTGTATTTTTCATTATATGTTACTTTGAACGTCATGGTTTGTTCATCTGCCAGTAATCTCCAGCCATCAGTAAAGTCTCTGAGATTCTTTTCTGTTCAGAATTAGAGATGATCTCTTGTAGATTTTCCTGACTAAAGCTTACCTTTGTGTCCTGAAATAAGTGTTCAGTAAGCAATTTTTTTTTCCTTTGACATGATATATTTTGCTGACTTATTGGCCCGGCTAGCTCAGTCGGTAGAGCATGAGACTCTTAATCTCAGGGTCGTGGGTTCGAGCCCCACGTTGGGCGATGTAGATTTTTAAGAGGGAGGATCCACGCAAGAATGGGAAACAAGCTTCAAAGGTACTTCATTTCTGAGAGGCTACATGTAAGTCCAACTCAAAAGGCCCTCTATACATGGATGTGCTTCATCACATGATCCAGGTGCTATGCTAAGTAGTCTAGCTAGAGCACTTGGTTGAATGTTAGCGCAATAAATTTAGTCTACATATCCATGGTGTAGGTACTTACTGAAAATTGTCAAAGGCTCTTCTTCTGAGAGTCGTTGGTTCAAGGCCCATGGTGGGAGATGGAGGTTTTAATATATGCACAATAAAAGACAATCATACGCTCTAAATCTCAGGTTCATGGGCTTGAGTCCCATGTTGGTTGATGAACTAGTTCAGGTCATAGGCAATGTAACCAATTAAGTAAAGTAAATTTAGTAAAGTCTCTGACATTCTTTTCTCTTCAGAATTATGGATAATCTTCTGTAGAGTTTCTTGACTAAAGCATACCTTTGTGTCCTGAAATATGTTTTGTAAGCAATATTTTTTGTTTTGAGGTGATGTATTTTGCAGAATTATAGGCCCGGCTAGCTCAGTCGGTAGAGCATGAGACTCTTAATCTCAGGGTCGTGGGTTCGAGCCCCACGTTGGGTGATATATGTTTTAGAAGGATCCGCACATGAATGGGAAACAAGCTGCAAAGGAACTTCATGTCTGAGAGGATACATGTGAGTAACGGAACTCGAAAGGCCCTCTATACATGGATGTGCTTCATCACATGATCCAGGTGCTATGCTACATAGCCCAGCTTGTGCGACTGGTTGAATGTTAGCGTAATAAATAGCGCAGTGCAATTTAGTCTCCGTATCCATGGTGTAGGCACTTGCTGAAAATTGTCAAAGGCTCTTCTTCTGAGAGTGGTTAGTTCAAGACCCATGGTGGGAGTTGGTGGTTTTAAGAGATGCACAATAACAGAAATCACACGCTCTCAATATCAGGGTCATGGGTTTGAGTCCCATGTTGGGTGATGAACTGGTTCGGGTCATAGGCAATGTAACGAATTGTTGATATTTTCTTAACAAAGGTGACATTTTGTATTTTGGATTATATGTTATAAAACAGCTTGAAAATCATGGTTTGTTCATATGCCTGCAAACCCCAACCATCAGTCTCTGAGATTCTTTTCTCTTCAGAATTAGGGACAATCTTCTGTAGAGTTTCCTGACGTAAACATACCTATGTGTCATGACATGTGTTTTGTAAGGAATGTTTTATCGTTTTAACGTGATATATTTTGCTGAGTCACAGGCCCGGCTAGCTCAGTCGGTAGAGGATGAGAATCTTAATCTCAGGGTCGTGGGTTCGAGCCCCACGTTGGGCGATCTAGGTGTTTAAGAGGAAGGATCAATGCAAGAATGGGAAAAAAGCTGTAAGGAACTTCATTTCTGAGAGGCTAGATGTGAGTACAGGAACTCGAAAGGCCCCCTAGGAATGGATGTGCTTCATCACATGATCAATCTGCTATCTTGCATAAACAGACAAGTGCAATTTTAATCGCCATATACACTGTGTAGGCAATTGCTGAAAATTGTCAAAGGCTATTCTTCTGGGAGTCGTTGGTTTAAGGCCCATGCTGGGAGTTGGAGGTTTTAATATATGCACAATTACAAAAATCACACACTCTTAATCACAGGGTCACGGGTTTGAATCCCACATTGGGGAATAAATTAATTGAAGTTGTGGACAATGCAACCAATTGTTGAAATTTATTTAACAAAAGTGACATCATGTATTTTTCATTATATCTTACATTGAATGTCATGGTTCATTCATCTGCCAGTTATCTCCAGCCATCAGTTAAGTCTCTGAGATTCTTTTCTCTTCAGAATTAGGGATAATCTCCTGTAGATTTTCCTGACTAAAGCATACCTTTGTGTCCTGAAACATTTGTTTCATAAGCAATGTTTTTCTTTTTGAGGTGATGTATTTTGCAGAATTACAGGCCCGGCTAGCTCAGTCGGTAGAGCATGAGACTCTTAATCTCAGGGTCGTGGGTTCGAGCCCCACGTTGGGCGATATAGGTTTTTAATAGGAAGGATCCACACAAGAATGGGAAACAAGTTACAAAACAACTTCATTTCTGTGAGGATACGTATGAATACAGTTCGAAAGACCCTCTAAGCATGAATGTGCTTCATCACATGATCCAGGTGCTATGCTGCATAGCACACTTTTTTAAACTTTAATGCAATAATGTGCTTGATCCCATGATGCCGATGCTATGATACGATCTTGAAATCTTACAAGACTGTACATCTGAGGACATAAACTAACTCAGAGCATAGACAGCATAACCAATTATTGAAATTCGCTCAATAAATTTCATTTTACAGGGCTTGGTGGAGCATGAGGCTCTTAATTGTAGGGTCACGGGTTTGAATCCCACATTGGCTGATAAACTAATTGAAGTTGTGGACAATGTAACTAATTGTTGAAATTTGTTTAACAAAAGTGGCATTTTGTATTTTTCATTATATGTTACATTGAACATCATGGTTTGTTCATCTGCCAGTAATCGCCAGCCATCAGTAAAGTCTCTGAGATTCTTTTCTTTTCAGAATCACGGATAATCTCCTGTAGGTTTTCCTGATTAAAGCATACCTTTGTGTCCTGAAATAAGTGTTCAGTAAGCAATTTTTTTTTCCTTTGACATGATATATTTTGATGAGTTATAAGCAATGTTTTTCGTTTTGAAGTGATGTATTTTGCAGCGCAATAAACTTACATATCCATGGTGTAGGTACTTACTGAAAATTGGCAAAGGCTCTTCTTCTGAGAGTCGTTGGTTCAAGGCCCATGGTGGGACTTTTTTAAACTTTAATGCAGTAATCTGCTTGTCCAAATTTGTTGTGTTGTGGTTTCAGAATGATGGAGACAGAGAACAATTAGATTCAAAATATAATGCAGGCTCGGGATGATCTTTTTTTCCTGGGCAACAAATGGCTTGATACAGTTAGCAACATGCACTATGTTGCTGCTGTGAATGGAGCACAAATTCCCCGGAGGAGCATGTCTCTTGAATATAGACTTAAGTTGGGGTAAGCACTGAATGTTTACAATTTCTGGCTCCGCCCCTGGTATAGGTTGTGCAACGTGTGCTGATTACAGTTGATTGAAAGACCTAGTGAAATGAAACTGATTGGATACCATGAGCAACATGTTTCAAGACAAAATGATAAAAAAAAAATATGAAGCCCAAAATATTCACCATCATAATAATGTCATCACTGCCTCTTCATGTTTAACCAGTTACTTCTGCTCAACATAGTGACTCAGTTTGTACTTGAACAGGGGCGGAGCCAGACATTGTAAACATTCGGGTTTAGCCCCAACGTAACTTGATATTCAGGGGACATGCTCCCCTGGGGAATGATTACTCAATGGTAAAGAAATGACACTAGTTATCTCTTTACAGGTTGTATGGGTATGAAATGTGGTCTATTTACAATGAGTCTTCATCAGTATGGAATGTCAGAACGTCTTCTTCTCACCCATTCTCCAACCCTCTCCTCCTGGTTCCTCATCACATATTTTTCTCCTCTCTTCTTCTCTTAACTTCAACTTTTCACTCCTTTTAATTTAACCCTAACCCTAATCCTAAACCTCTATTCCTGCTTCCTCTCCTGGTCCACAGGTTGTCCTGTCCAATCCCTGCACTCTCTTACTCATTTTCCCTCATGGCTTGCCAGCTCTCCAAAAATAAATAATAATATAAATGGCTATTTCCCCAGCAATAATAGAGCTCCACTGATTTGCTGGTTCAATCAGAAAGACTGAGAGGAAATGACACCAAGTTGAAGCTATAAATATAAATAATGTTATAATAAAATTCATATAAGATTTGGGAAAACATCCGGGGCTGGAGCCCCATAAGCCGCCCCCCTCGCTCCGCCTGTGTACCTGAAGTAAAAACAATTACAAGCTCAGTTCCTTATTAATAATAGTGCTACTACATTATTACCTTGCTAACTGCAGAGCTATTACTTTTATCTTGGCAATCTGCTGCTTTCACCCTGTCTTTCCATTTGCTGTTATTTGGAGAATAAATGTTCACGTTACCGTCCAACTTGATGCTGATGCAGCGTGGTTGAAGTTACTCACTGTGACCATCGGAGGACAGGCTGCCAACAATCAACTTCACGAGCATCAAGTTAGACCATCACACCACAATTATAAAATATGTAGAAATACATTTATAATCAGTCAAGATCCAAAATATCAATTTTTTTGTTTGTTTAAAAAAAAAAAACATGATCGCGTTCACCCAACTTTTGACCTGTTTTGATGACGTCAGATTTGCCTCTTCCGCTCTTGCTCGCGGCAGTAAACATGGCGAGCAGCTAGCGGAGTCGTTGTGTGCATTCAATCCTGAAGGTTTTGGGTTTTTCTGTCAGGGTTAAAGCAATACATTTTATTTTACTTTTGGTATCTAGAGGTGTGTGAGTAGGGCGTTCTGCTCTACGGGTTTTATTTAAATAAGAGGTGAGGACAGATTTCACCTTTGTGTCATTATTGAGGCTAACGCGGCCCTAGCTACAAGTGCAGGCTAACGTTTGCAGCTAACTCGCCATCCAAATGCTGCATGACTAGCTAATACTTAGATATCTATCACAGGGAGTCATACTCGCGTTATAACGTTTGTTAGCCACTTAAAACATCCGCAGCTGTATCTAACAACTTGAAGACGGACTTTGCTTGTTTTATAGTCATGCCTTGACTGTCAACTTTACATTAACTTGTTAGCCAGGAGTAGCTAATCGTCATAATAAAGTAGGCGATCAGTGTTGTTTCTGTTGCTTAATTACTTTTATATTCCAGGTAGCTACAGTTTTACCAACAACTCAACAGAGATGCGAAATCTTTGCAAAAACAAATAACTAGTATTTGTAATATTTGAAGTTCAGTTAACGAAATGGAACTGAGCATCCTCAAAGATGCTCTGTAGCATCTACTAGAGATATTTTTTAATTGTTTGTTTAATGCAAATGTAAAGTAGACGTGCGTAGTCTTTCAGTGAACGTGAATAGCTAGTTTACATTGTTTAATTTCACCTGGTATTTTAATACTTATCAGGGTGAAGGAGACGCACCGGCAACATGGGGCGACGTTCAACCTCCTCCACCAAGAGTGGGAAGTTTATGAACCCCACCGACCAGGCTAGTAAGTACCGACCATAACCTAGAGCTGGTTCCTCTGCCACCTACCTGCTGGATAACACTTGAAGAATTACTGTTTATCTGTTGTTGTAATATGTCTGAACGATAACTAGCGTGCATTTGTTCTCCACCTCTCTTACAGGAAAGGAAGCCAGGAAAAGGGAGTTGAAAAAGGTACCCATGATCTTGGAACATATGAATCGCTTTTAATGCAGTCTTTGTTCTTAAACACAGTAGTCATGTTATTATGTTGTTAACATGTTGCTTCATCTATTAATGATCCTGCTAGAACAAGAAGCAGAGAATGATGGTGAGAGCAGCAGTACTGAAGATGAAGGACCCCAGACAGATCATCAGAGACATGGAGAAGCTGGATGAGATGGGTGAGAGGGCTGGATTTGTGTGTTTCAAAAAGTTTTTTTTTTGTCTTTATAAATGTTTACTATCCTCAGTTATCTCATTGTACAAATATTTTTAAAAAGTCTTAAGTCTTAACTTGATCTGCCTTTTTTGATAATACAGCAGTTTTAGATTCTATATAGAAACTGTGAAAGTATCAAAGTGCTCTGTCCACAGAGAAAAACACACAGCCTGTATTCAGAAGCTTAGCCTTAAAATGAGCCGTCAGGACTTATGTAACTTTTACCCCTTTTCCACCAAAATAAGCGGGTATAAGTGGATTTTTTTAAAGCAGGTGAACCTGCCAATAAAAGCCAAGTCACCCCTTTTCCACTGCCAGTCGAGTTTCTTGCAGTTTGGCTGGTTGGCAGAGGCGATGCATATAACTGCTAGGCTGTAATTCTAGTTTAACAAATAATTTGCGTTTGTTTCTAACACATAATAAAGCTTTCCTGTAACACCTTCAACAGAGTTCAACCCAGTTCAGCAGCCTCTACTGAATGAGAAGGTGTTGAGGGACAAGAGGAAGAAGCTACGTGAGACATTTGAACGCATTGTTCGTCTGTATGAGAGAGAGAATCCTGACACCTACAAGGAACTACGCAAACTAGAATTGGACTATGAGACCAAACGTGGGCAGCTGGCTCTTTATTTTGACTCAGTCAAGGTGCGTTTGTGTGTGTATTCGTTTGTATTTGCATATTTTTGCATTCACTGTACTTGACAAGGATTTGTATTGATTTGTGTTGACTTGTGAAAGAGAGGATGTTGTATGCACAATTCCGTAATAGCTGGTTGGTCTGAGATACAGCAACATGAAAATTCATTTGATTGCAGGCACAGAGGTTTGATTAATCTTGATCCAGATGCGTTGAAACATTGGATATGTTATAAGCATCAGTATGTTTGTGTCTTTTGTATATGTTGAGTTTCAGTATTAATATTGCAGTTCCTTTACATTGCTTTGCATTGTGGTGACTCTCTGTTTACTATCTTGTGTGTATCATTTTCTATTTTTCAGAATGCAGAGTCAGTGGAGGTGGACAGTATCCCTTTACCAGATATGCCTCATGCCCCCTCCAATATCCACATCCAGGACATCCCACTACCAGGGGCTCAGCCTCCCTCTATATTGAAGAAGAGTTCCACTTTTGGGTAGGCCTTGAGCTGTACAGGTTTCTGCAAGGAAACTCAGTATATGGCGCTGTTGTGCTTTACTGTACCACTGAGGTAAATGTCTTTTCTTGTGTCTCTCAGTAAAGGACCTCTCTCGTCATCCTCTGGACCAGTGTTGGCAACAGTGCCAGGTGTCCCACGTTTACCTCCGGGGAAAAAGCCCCCTGGCCCTCCACCTGGACCCCCACCTCCACAGGTCCTGGCACTGTACGGCATTCCTGCTCGACGAGCTTTTGGCGTAGATTCAGGTAACACACAAACTGTCCCCTCAATGGCTGATTAATTATTTCTGATTGCTTATTTAACTTTAACTAATTTTTACTCTCCCCCCAAACAGAGCCTTCCATTCCTGGTTTAGAAAAGGACTCTGCGATGGAGCTGGGAAGAGATCGAGATAGTGGCAGTGAGAGCGACAGAGATCGGGAGGATGTGGATGATGATGACAGCGACTCTGAAGAGGACAGTGAAGAAGAGCGAGATGAAGGGGTAGACGGTGACCAGAGAATGATTCTGGACAGGCAGGATGATGAGAGGGAAAGAGAGGAGGAAAGAGACAGAAATGAAAGGCATGCTGGTGAGTGTCTCAGCTTCTTCAGCATATTGATGATGATTGATATGATTTTATGTACAATGGAGCAAAATTGCAGTTCTGCAGGCACTCAGCAAAGGATGAATAGCTTCAAAGCATTTTCTGAAAAATTAAACTGATTAAAATTTGTGTTCTTACATTAATATATTCTTTTGATGAATATGTTTATGTCCAAATGCTTTAGGTCGCAGTGTACGTTTCGCAGATATGCCTCCAGAGGCACCCCGTGAAGGAAAAAGGAAGAAAAAGAGGCTGGTGAAGAAAACCAAGGCCATTACCCCTCTGCAGGCCATGATGTTAAGGATGGCAGGTATTACAGTATAATAATGTCGCTCCTGTATATTTACTAAGTTAGCACACTTTGTTTACTGTTTCTGATGATGTGGCACGGTGTTATTCCTTTTTCTTCAGGTCAGTCAGTTCCTGAAGAGGAGGAAGAAGAAGAGGTAGAGGAGGAATACACAGATGAATCTGACAGCTCAGACATTGAGGACAGGGGGCCGCCAGGTGACAACCAGTCCCACCTCATGGCCAATCAGCGTCTACCCCCTCCTGCTGGGCCAGTGGGACAGCAAGGGCCTCCACACATGCAAGGTCCACCAATGACTGGTCCTCCACCACTGGGTCCACCCCCAGCTCCTCCGATGAGGCCTCCTGGTCCACCCTCTGGCCCGCCTCCTGGCCCACCACCAGGTTAGATACAGTATTTCCAGCTGTAATAGTACATTTTAGCTCTGATCTAGAAACTGGAAGAAAATGCTATACCTGATATTTTAAGGATGTGCTTGTTGTACTCAGTATCCATGTAGACACTGCATCATGTATTTGACACTTTCTGCTATCTTCAGGTGCCCCTCCATTCTTGAGACCTCCTGGGATGCCTGGGGGCATGAGGGGTCCAATGCCTCGACTTCTGCCTCCAGGACCTCCACCAGGTCGACCCCCTGGCCCTCCACCAGGCCCACCTCCTGGCCTGCCTCCAGGCCCCCCACCACGTGGACCCCCTCCCAGACTACCACCCCCAGCACCACCAGGTAGGCATATGTTTGAATACAGGGTGTGAAGGCACATGTCTGTGCATGTGCGTGCACATATGTGTAGTGCTAGAGATGAAAAGGTGAACTGTGTGTTTATGTACTATATACTGTATATATATATATATATATATATTCTTGTGAACATGACGTAATTATATGTCACAAAACTGCTGGGAAATTTATTTTAAATGCCATTGCAAAAAGCTGTAAAATTTGAGACTTCTTTATGTCATTAAATATATGTTAACATACTTTATGTATTTCACTGACTTGCATGAAAGAGAGAAAAGAAAGAAAGTTCAGTTGGGAGAATGCCACCCTGACAGTGATATGACGAGAAAGAAGACGTCTCACACTGATTGTATGAACTAAAGAAACACTCGGTTAATTTGTGGTTGTACAGTGGTGTTACAGAATGGAGCTTTTCCCTCACAACCTATTTTTGATAAGCGCTAACAGCAGCGCATAGAGAGCACACAAACCGACAACAGCCAAGTTTAATGTAGGCCTGACATCAAGTTACTGACACAATTAACAATAATTATTGACAGCTGATACAGCGTACCACCGAAAGCAACGCTCAGCACCGGCTAAGATGAGTAGCTGCAGCTGAATGTTTTCTACACTGCTTTGCTAACTAATAACCGTTAGCGTTGGAGCTTAGTGAATATCTTTTCAACCTCAGTGTGTGAAGTCAGTCAGTTACCGCTGCACCTAATGAATATTTCGCTGTCACTTGTTGCATAGTATGGAAAGCCTATTGAACCAAGCAGGTCGTCTGAGCTCAGCCAGCGGTCCACAGCAGGACCGCACCTCTGCAAAGTCGTGTAATTGCGACTTTGTGACCTCTCATAAGATTCTGAAGCGGTGACGGAAATAATTTTCCAGCAGCAGGCCGGAACTGCAAAATATATATCATGGGAACACTGTGTCATGAAAATAAATCTATCTTGTGTCTCCTTACAGGTATCCCACCTCCTCCCCCAAGAGCAGGAGGGCCCCCACGTCCACTTGCCCCACCACTCTCCCTCTTCCCTCCGCCTCTCAACTCCAATGTTCTCAGTGCTCCTCCCAACATTGTCCAGCGGCAAAAAGGCTCAGGATCCAACCAGGACAGTTCACAGAGCAACTTACCACCCCCTGCCATGCCCATGCGACCGGGTGTCATGCAGATGCCCCCTCCCCCAGGGACAGCTGCCGCTTCCACGGGCAACAATCCAGGCAGCAACCCCCCCGGCCACCACCATGCAGCCACCATCGAAAAACGAGCCAACATCACATCTGTTGCAGCCGCAGGAGGCAACATGGCAGCAGGTGCCAGTTCTGGTGGGGCCACCATCTCTGCCAAACCTCAGATTATCAATCCAAAGGCAGAGGTCACCCGCTTTGTGCCCACGGCACTGAGGGTGCGTAGGGACAAGAGCGGAGCAATGCCCGGGGCAGCAGCAGGGCCTCTGGAGAAAGTAGGGGGTGGTGTTTCTGGAAGGAGGGGAGATGATGGCATTGGAGGTGGACAGGGGCAGAAACAACAGGCAGCAGCTGCTCCAATGGGCTTGGTCAACTCGGCCCAGATGGGTGCTGTGTCTCAGCCCAGCATGAAGACTAAGGACCAGGTGTATGAAGCCTTTATGAGGGAGATGGAGGGTCTCCTCTGAAACTTAAGAGAGCATTGGGAGGAATGTTCAGTCGAGTGCTCTGAACAACATGAGCGTATTAGTTTTGTGTGTTTTCTTCGCTGAGTAATAGAGGTAGCTGTCTTCAAGGCATTCAACTAGATCTGTTTTCCTTTAGCAAACCAAGGAAGGCTGCTACCTTCTCAGCACTGGTCTCAGCTGACTCGTCTTCATTTCATCTGGACTATTATTTTTTTGTATCTAGAGAGAATGCCAGTTTGATTTACATACTTAATCTGGTTATATTGCTAATTGGAAACATTGGGATTGGTTGCTATTCCATTAAGCAACTCATAAAAAACACTACTCTGCATTAAAAAAAATGCCAGACTATCAAATGCTACATTGAATTATTTTTTTCTCCAGCCAACAATTTCTCATTCGACATGACCAGAAAAGGCATTTTCTTATTATTGTTTAACTGTCAACTGTTCATTTTATTAATGATCTCCTAAACGTGTTGGACAAAGATGTGAAATGTTTGTCAGCCACAGACAAAATACATGTTTGAAACTGTTTGACCTGCAGCTAAATAAATACTTCCGAAACTGTTTTTACCACATGTGTGATGTAATAAAGGAGACAATATAAACAAAAATAATTATACACAAAACAAGTAATTTCAAGATGCTTTATATCTGGGGAAAAGATTGAGTGGAAATCCACCAGTGAGCAAATTTTCTAGTGTTTCCTCACCTAAGCGATCATATTAATGTTTTAAGTGGGGGATATCTGGTGAAGAATGTATATTAAACCTAAATAGAAGCGATTATTTAAAAAAACAAACAAAAAAAACAACAACTCCCATCATCCATTGCGAAAGCCCGCACTCTTTTCCGCATCTGCGCATTGCCGCGCTGACGACACGTTGGGGTGAAATCCAGCATGGCGGACAACAGAGAGGAGAGCGTGAAGCCAAACACAGATGAAACACTCGAAGGTTCGAGTAGTGATGAAGATAACAGTCACGTAAATAGCGGCGAAAATGACGAGACAGTGAAAACCTTCAAGGATCTGGTAAGTTTGTCTCTCGCGGAGCGAAGAACAGAAGGTGTTTTAGCAAAACGTGAGCCGCAACTTAGCTTACTTTGAGTTAGCTTGAGTACACTAATATCATCTGTAATCATTATTTATCGCATGTAATACGCCTGGTATCTGATAAACGTGTTGTTGATTTGGTAGCACATTATTATCAGCATCTCACAAAGGTCTTCATCCGGTTTTATTTGCCTCCGACAGGGTGTGACTGAGGTTCTCTGTGAGGCGTGTGATCAGCTGGGATGGAAGAGTCCGACAAAGATCCAGATAGAAGCTGTACCAGTAGCTCTGCAAGGTGAGCGACTACAGTAACCTCTGTCCCGTCAGCCGATCCCATCAGAGAGGGTTCCCTCCAGAGCCGTGATGTTGTCTGTGCAGCCCATCAACTGTGCTCTCCTTCAATATTATTATTGTATTTAAATCATTTACTTCAGTAAAAGTAGAAATTCCACAGTGTACAGATACTCCAAAACATGTAGAAAAAAAAATAAAATAAAAGTCCTGCATCAAAAGTTCAGGTGTATTATCATATTCTTAAAGTATAAGAGTCGAGTTATCCACCACAATACCCCCTGTCAGTATTGCATTATCATATGTGATTCTATTGGATGATTATTGTGGATGCATTGACATTTAATCTGCATTTTAATGTTGTAGTTGGCTGCTTTGGAGATTATTATTCTATCTATTGGGCCATATACTGTTTGGTCAGATTTTATGTTTGACAGTGTGCATGACCTTTTTTTTCCCCACACAGAGTCAGAATAAAATGAAGATTCTCAAGTAAAGTACAAGTACCACAAAACTGTACTACTTACTGTCCAATCCTGCTAAATATACATAATGTGCTTGTTTCTTAAACTGCAGGGAAGGATGTTATTGGCTTGGCAGAGACTGGTTCAGGAAAGACGGGTGCCTTTGCGCTGCCGATCCTCCAGTCACTGCTGGCCTCGCCCCAGAGGCTTCATACCCTCGTCCTCACCCCCACCAGGGAGTTGGCATTTCAGATCTCTGAGCAGTTTGAGGCCTTGGGCTCCAGCATTGGCGTTAAGTGCGGTATGTGTCTTGTTAATTAAAGCTTAGCCGACGTGCAGCGATACAGAGGACTTAACTGTGATTCTTTACCTAAAACCTCTCATTTGTGTTGCAGCTGTCGTAGTTGGTGGGATTGACATGATGTCCCAGTCCTTGGTGTTGGCCAAGAAACCACACATTGTCATTGGTAAGCCGAAACTGATTAGTATTTTTTTTACACAGATTTCATAAACAGTATTTCTTCGTGTGCGTGCGTGCGTGCGTGCGTGCGTGCGTGCACGCACAAAAAACCCCACTAAACTGGTACTGTTACTGCTTGTGCTGAACTGATGTTGTGATCATAGTATTCATTATAAGTTTATCTCATTGATACATTTTCTTTATTTTTTTTTCTTCATCTGTTCAAATAATGTACAAAATTGAAGTTACCTACAATATAATTCCCTATTTAATCACCCAAAACAAGAAAGTTCTTTTTATATTGAAAGGCAAGTTTATTCATAACTGGGAAAAGTCATAAATATAAAATAAAGAATTACTTTACTTTCCCTTTAAAATATAAGACAAGTTAATAGCAAAGATCAGAAATTGTACGATGACTACTGAAATTAGAAGAGTATTACCGCACTACATTTGTTTACACAAACCCTTCACGAGGCATGTGAATCACCCATTACTCAAATATCACGTCTTTCATTTACTTCCCATATTCACCTGTTTAATCAACTGATGAACTCGGCATGTTTACAGCCACACCTGGTCGGTTGATTGACCACATGGAGAACACCAAAGGCTTCTCCCTACGAGCCCTGAAGTTCCTGGTCATGGACGAAGCGGACAGAATCCTCAACATGGACTTTGAGACGGAGGTGGGTGGTCAGACAATAACAAAGCTCAAACATTAAGCTCACAGTAAGTCTCTGTCTTGCTTTCATTCAGTACAACAGTCTCCCCCTGTTTTAATATAAGGAAACAGAATTACTTGTATGGAAATGTTCCTGTAGTTCCTGGAATACTGAGAGAAGAATAATGCAATCTCTGACACTTTGAGGCTGTTTGCTCTAAGTATGCTTTATTTATTTTTTCTCCAGGTGGATAAAATCTTGAAGGTGATTCCTAGAGAGAGACGCACTTTCTTGTTCTCTGCCACCATGACCAAAAAGGTAGACAAACACACAATTCTGCAAAGGCCTTACAGTCCTGTTTTTTCTGTTACTTGTTGCTGCAGGGTAACTGGGAAATCTAATAAGCTTTAGGGCATTATGTCATTTGTAGAGTTTGCACACTGTTCTCTTTGACTGAGAACTTGCACTTTCTTTAATGTGTTTACAGGTTCAGAAACTACAGAGAGCAGCTCTGAAAGATCCTGTGAAGTGCGCCGTGTCCACCAAATACTCAACAGTTGACAAACTGCAGCAATACTACATCTTCATCCCGTCCAAGTACAAGGTGGGGCACACAGAGACGTTATGCTTCCAGCTGACCATCCCCTGTCTGCCATAATACTAGAATGAACTTTCTGCTGGTGCGTAAAGTATATTGGATTTCATAACAGCTTTTTGTGCTTGTTTGTTTTGTGGCAGGACTGTTACCTGGTGTCCATCCTGAACGAGTTGGCCGGTAACTCGTTCATTATTTTTTGCAGCACATGTAACAATGCCCAGCGGGTGGCGCTGTTGTTAAGGAACCTTGGCATCACTGCTATCCCCCTTCATGGCCAGATGAGCCAGGTAGAGCTCTCTCTCACACACACACACACACACACACACACTCACACTCACACTCACACATGCAACTTCCTGACATCCAGTTGGCTTTAAAACCTGTTAACATTTGTCAACTATAGTGATTTGATGACAGAAGGACAGTGTTGCACAAGCATCTATGTACATGCTGTGTTTCTCTCCGTTCACACATTATTGATTAAAAACTGATAGAAAAGTTGCTGACGCCGAGTCGTCTCTAACGACAACACCATCATTCACAAAGCCTGTCATCACAGTGCAGTAACAACATTAGCAGCATATAGCAAAAACCATAACATATATCTAAGTGCCAAAAAAATGTATAATGTAATATTTATGTTCTTTGTGTAGCATTTATAAACATCATTAGATTAGTGCCAATGCCAGTCATTTCCACTGTCACATCATTTGTCGTTATGTTTATTTTGACCTACAGTTCTCATTATGTCAGAATAGAGATCTTAACGTCTTTGATCGCAGCTTTTCCCCGCTGCTTTTTACTCGTTTAACCCCTTGGTCTAGCGTTGTGTGAATGTCAAATAGCTTTGGCTCCATTTGATCTGGAAGAACAGCACCCTCTTCTAGTTTTGTGTCATAAATTAATTATAATCTATTTACAATTCATCATGCAGCATTTATACACTGTAGCTACATAGGCTTTTTATAACAACAGTGATTAAAGCTTCTCTGCACAGTTCGCTGTCTATACAATGCTGTATTCACCCTCTGGATCTTCTCTCTCCTGCTGCTCAGAACAAACGTCTAGGAGCGCTGAACAAGTTCAAGTCCAAGTCTCGATCGGTGCTGCTGGCGACCGATGTGGCGTCCAGAGGGCTGGACATCCCTCACGTTGACTGTGTCATTAACTACGACATCCCCACTCACTCTAAGGTACCGCGCTGCCGACATTCACGTTGCCCATGTATTTGGTGATTTCATTTTCTCACTGATGTGACTTGAACGGATCGTTGGATCTGTTCCTTCCCTTACAGGACTACATCCATAGAGTTGGCCGAACAGCCAGAGCAGGCCGGTCTGGGAAATCCATCACTTTTGTCACTCAGTAAGAGCTGCCTGTTTTTTTTCATCAATTACGTGATATTCACATGGATACTATTTTTTAAATCCTTATGGCTTCCTTATGAAATTGCTGTTACTTTTTTAGTTAATGTTGAACAGCTGTACTTGTCTTTCTGCCTTTTTATAAAGTGCTACCACTCGTGGACTAATATAATAAATGAAAGTGAGTTGACCGCAGTAAACTGACACATCCCTTTATCGTAGGTACGATGTGGAGCTTTTCCAGCGAATCGAAAGCCTGATCGGGAAAAAACTTCCCGCCTTCCCTACCCAGGAAGAGGAAGTGATGATGCTGGTGGAGAGGGTGAGCGAGGCCCAGAGATTTGCCAGGCTGGTAAGTCACCGTTGCCATATGATCATCTTTTCTGAATGTTTTTTTCAAACATTAACTCAAACAGGGAAAGCCTGTTGTCGTGTGAAAACTGAGTGAGAAAACAGTGTTATCTTAACCCTCTTAATTCACCAAACTCACCAATTAATACTGTCTGAAAATCTTCTTATCTTCCCTTCTTTTCCTGAAATTAAAATGTTACACTTGGTATGGGATACTGTATGATATATATCAAAATAAATTTGAAATTGCAATATGGGTAAGTGCATTATCCAAAGCGTGGTGGTGCTAGAGACGCCTCAGCCTACAAATCATATTCTCC